CTGGAAGTGATGTAATGGTGTTGCCGTGACGCCCATTACATTTTCCCTGCCCACCGACTCACCCTGTGGCAACCCTAGAATGACCACTTACGGGGGAGGCGGCTTCCAAGCGTGGTCATCACCTCACGAGCCACTCGGGTGCTGTGAACCTGCTACAGTTATGCGCCCCCCCCCCATTTTGTCACTTCCCAGCACCTGCCGATAAAGGCACCACCTTTCCCTTCCCTTCCGCAGTGCTCGGTAGAGGTGGCTGAGATATTCCTTGCCACTCACCCTGTGAATCACTTGTTCTGAGAGATTTAGTGACACCTAACCTCTTTGGGGGCAACTCTCTAGGTGTTAAGGGGATCCTGACACTGGAGTGACAAAAAGAGATGGATGGTGGCCCGTCTGGTATTGACCGGAACCCAGGCCTTTCCCGTCATGGCTCTGGCTCTATGGAACGGGATCCTTGAAGAGAAGGGGACAGCCTCCTTGGCGGTCTTCAGGAGGCGCTGCAAGGACTGCCTGCTTGTCAGGCCTTCCAAGGGAGGTTGAACAGCAGGCGTCTTTTGAGGGGGGAGAGATCTGGAGTTTGCTATTTTCTTTTCGCTTTTAACTGAATGTGTTTTTAACTACTATTGTAAGATTTCTTGAACTACAAGGAAAGGCGGGGTAGAAACGTTTTAATAAATCAATAGCTGAAACGGGATAGAGGAGACTGCCCGTCCAAGTGATAATTTGAATCATCCGGATTTACCCCTCAGTTTTCAAAGCCCGGAATTTGAACTTCTGAGTGGCAAATGGATCTGATGTCTAGATAACAAAGAACTAGCATTATCACCATCACCCCTGCTTCGTACTGCTCATTTTGGAAGCAGCCACACGGCGGAGGATGAAATTATAGAGGATTACTAGCAGACATTATTTTTCCAATCCTTTATGAATGTATTATCCCCCTGAAGAGCTGTTTTCGGTGTGCAGCTTATGCCAGTAAGGTGAGGAGGGGGGGTTACTCCTGAAAGTCATTATAAAAAATCCAAGTGGCACCAGGTCTCTGCTCCGGGTGGTGTTTTGGAGGGGGGGGGAGAACTGCTTGCAGCAACAACAACACGACGTCGATGGGGAACGATATTAATTACTTGCAATGTGCCTCGCAAGAGGGAGCAACTGCTTTTTATTATCACGCAAATATTATTTGAAAAGGGAAGGTTACTCTAACCGTTGTCATCATCTACGTATCATTAACTTTCCCCCGTATAGAAAAGAGATTAACGGCCGTGTAAATTGTTATGGAAAACAGGTGAATGATAACTACATATTTTTAATATAAACAAGTTTCTGCCTACACCCCCCCCCCTCTCTCACCCATTGGGGAAATTATGTATTCAAACCAAATAAGCATCTTTACAGTGGCGCTGAGCCTTCTTAGACAGCTTGCATACCAACGAAAATGACTACTTATTGCAACAACTTCCAACCATCTGTCAGTGATCCAAAAGAGAACGGGGTGGGTTTTTTGCGACTATAATACCTTTATTGCGCAGTCATTAATAAGTCCCCTAGTGAACACATTTATGTTAAAAGTAAATACATAGCAGAATCTTTAATTAGGAAGCAAATACTTGCGAATACAGCTGCTGCATGAGGTTAGAATCCATCCTTTTCATGTTTGGGAGTTGTGGCCATCGGATTGCTTTTTTATTTTTGAACATACGCTATCCACGTCTGTCTCTATTCCTCTCTGTTTTTCTACCTGTCTCCCGCCTTCTTTTGTTTCTTCCCGTTCTCATGCTTTCTCTCTCTGTTCTCCCTAGAATGGTAGGCTAGGATCAGAGAGTGTCAGGTTCAGATCCTTACTTGGCAGTGAAGGTCACCGGGTGACCTTGGGCCCATCATTCCAATCCAGCTAACCTTCCTCTCAGCGTTGCCAGGAGAGTGAAATGGAGAAGGGGCAGCCAGTGGAAGCTGCCCTGAGATCAGTGCTCCCTCTAAGTTGTGCGCATGAGCGGCCGCTCATTGACACGGGAAGCCCCGCTCAGCAGTAATCTGGAGCCGCACAGGGTCTGGCACTGCCCGTGGCCCATTTTAGGATTGTAGCGGTTATATTCTGCTCAGGATGTGCTCTGTTCAGTAGGGGGGAAAGCATTAGAGGGAACATTACCTGAGATTCTTGGAAGAAGGGTAGAATAAAAATGTACTAAATAAATAAATATCTAGCTCTCTCCCCTGTCTAGCTCTCTCCCATGAGGTTAGGATTCAGCCAGTTTGGTGTGAGAGGCAATTTGGTGTAGTGGTTAGAAGTGCAGACTCTGATCTGAGAGAACCGAGTTTGATTCCCCACTCCTCCACATGCTGCTGCTGGTGTGACCTTGGGTCAGTTACAAGTTATTTCAGAGCTGTTCTCTCAAGGGCAGTTCTCAAAGAGCTCTCTCAGCCCCGCCTACCTCACAGGGTGTCTGTTGTGGGGAGAGGGATTGTAAGCCACTCGGAGACTCCTTCGGGGAGTGAGGGGTGGGATATAAATCCAAGCTCTCCTTCCCTTTAAACCAGACAAACATATGAAAACAAATTATATTTAAGGATTGTGAAAGGGAAGCACACCAGTCCAGTAGTTGGTATTACCTCTGTTGGTCAGTAGCCAGATTCAGAACTGCTAGCACATCTTTACCCAGATCTGTCAGGTCTTAGATATTGTACTGTCCTGTGGATGCGTGGAAGGAATTTGCACAAGACAGCAAGGAGAGAGGGCCCATTTCTAGGTGGTGGCTGCAGGTGTCCCACCATTACAACTGATCTTCATGCAACAGAAATCAGTTCAGCTGGAGAAAATGGCCACTTTGGAAGGCGGACTCTATGGCATTATACCCCTTGGAAGCCCTTCCCCTCCCCAAACCCCACCCTCCTCAGGCTCCACCCCCAAAACCTGCAGGTATTTCCCAACCAGGACCTGGCAACCCTACCCTGATTCCTGTATCATATCTGTGCTGGCCTTTCAGATTGGGGCTGTTTGTGATTAGAACGGTGAGAATAGCCTATTTATGCCTGAGTTGTATAGTGGTTGGTGTTCCAGAGTAGGATGTAGGACAGTGTTTCCCAACCTGTGGGTCACAAAGCCCCTAAAAGTGGGTTGTGGGCCAGCCCTCCCTAATGGCCACCCCTGCCCTTTCCATTGCTCTCTTTTTGTACCTTGGAAACCAAGCTCTGACCCTGGAAACTGTATCTTCCATGTCCTACCTTAGTTCAGGTATGTCCAACAGGTAGATCATGATCTACCAGTAGATTGCGGAGGGGTCGGAGGTAGATCACCAGCCCCACTTGGTCTCCTGGTTTGCTGGACAGGTGTTTGGGGTTTTTTTTGAAGATTGCTTGGTGGTATTGGATTATTGGTGCCAGTATGGTGAATTCTTATTTTTACTTTTAGAACTGCATGTGTGGTTTTGGCATCATCCAGAGGTCTTCCGTTCCTGTTGATCTTTAATACTTTATTTTCATGGTGGTAGATCACCGGCACTTTTGGACACGCCTGCCTTAGTTGGTGTTTTTTCCACTGCATATCCATGTTTATCAAGTGACATGTAGCCTGATTGTAACTAGGGCAAGTGAGAATTTTAGGGGGGATTCGAGGGAGTAATGGAAAGGGAGAGGGGGTCAAAGGCTGGAATGTAACTGCCGTGTGTAAAGACTGTACGCTTTTGGGGTGCCACTTGCTTGGGGTTCATCGTGGGGGAAGCAGCACCCTTTGTGCAATGCTTGCTGGTTCCTTAAAAACATCTAGTTAGCCACTGTAGGAAATGGAACGCTGAACTAGATGGGGGCAAAGGTCACCGTTCCCCTGGGGTGCCAAAACACCCTGGGCCAACCCCAGCTGGGTCACCATACTACGTAAATTTGGACTTGTGGGTCACCCTACCGTAAAGATTGGGAAACCGCTGATCCAGATTCAAATCCCCACTCTTCCGTGGAAGCTTGCTGGCGACCGTGGACCAGTCATGAACACTCAACCTAGCCTGCCTCACAGGGTAGTTCTGAGGTTAAAATGAAGGAGGGAGCACTGTGGATGCCGCTCAGGAGGAAGGGCGGGATAAAAATGATTTTAAAAATCAGGCTGCCCACCTTGGATGGCGCATCACTTGCGCCAGCCCAGAAGGTGAGGAGCCGGGGGTGGTCCCAGATGCCTCACTTTCTATGGAGGCCCGGGTCACCTCCGTTGCCAGGTCTGCCTTTCACCACCTCCGGCAGATTAGGCAGCCTAGCTCCCTACCTCTCCCCCCAGGACTTGCTACAGTGACCCATGCAATGGTCACTGCCAGACTTGATTCCTGCAACTCGCTTTACGTGGGGCTGCCCTTGCGGCTGATCCGGAAACTCCAGCTAGTGCAAAAATGTGGCGGCACGCCTGCTGACAGTGCTTTCTGACTACCAATTGTGTACTGGGTCTGCTTCAAGGTACTGGTATGGGCCTTTAAAGCCTTGTACGGCCTGGGACCAAGATACCTGAGGGACCGCCTCTCCCCATATCTGCACCAAGACCTGCTGGTTTTCCCCGACCCAAGGGGTGTCCTCTTAGCCTTGACCAGGGCCAGGTGGAACATGCTCCCATGTGAGATCGGGGCCTTGCCATTCCACAGGGCCTGTGAAATGGAGGTGTTCCACCAGGCCTTTGGCTGAGGTGGTGGGCATCAAGTGAAGAAGTTGACCTCCCCTGCTGAAGTTCACCAGTTCTGGGTGGCCCAGTTCAAGCAGATCTTAAAACAGAAGCCTAGCAGCACCAGCTCTGGAGATTGTGTGTACAAACAAATAGTGCAATCTGTTTTAAATCATTGTTTGTAACTATTGTTAAATTGTTTATTAATGTATTTGTATCGTGATGCCGATTGCCGAATGGCCTTGTGATCTGCCCTGAGCCCACTAGGTGATTAATTCAAATTTAATTATGATTTTTTATGTTTTTGTTGTGTGCTGAGATAAGATCTTTGCCAGATGACTGTTGGAAGCTCATATCTTTTGTTTGTCCACAGGGCAGGCACACCACGGCCAGGTCTCCTACATTGCACCTCCGATTCCTTTAGACTCTGATCTGGAGAGGCAGTCGTTTAAGGGTGAGTTGTCAATTTAATCCATCCCCTCAGAGAATTTCATTAACTAGCCAGAGCATGATTATGGTATACGGTCCCTTGTCCTGAGCTAAATATCCTGAGGCACAGAAGTTCTTTCGATTTGATCCTCGACTTGGTCTCCTTCGTTTCTCGTATGGTTTCTCGTAAGGGGTCGTACTGAATTCTTTGATCAATTCTGCACTGTGTAGCTAGTGTTTTAGCATCCCTGCCATATTCTCGGGATTTAAGTATTCTTTGGGGCCAACCAGCAAAGACTTGTGATTCTCTCACAGCCGCGAAGAAAAACCGCCAACGTTGGCATTGAATACAGTTGCTGCAGGCACATTCTTTGTTAGGTTGCTTGGATTCAGAAGAGTTGAGAAGTTCCCCGTGGTTCTCAGAATATTTTGAAGAATCCGAACGAGTGGCGGCAAAGGAACGGAATGTAAAGGCGTTCGGTGGAGATGGTTCAAATAGATCTCACCGACTTCAGGTGCCCAGAGTGGTTCAAAAACTCAGGATTCCTCTGGCAATTTGATAAGATTTGGGACGTGGTTCAAAGAACAGTGCTATCAGTCTCGTCGTATCTGTTTAATTTTTGTCTTAATTGAATACCAGGTGAGAAGATAACATTTCTAAGGTTATGCTTACATGAAAGAATCTCAGTGTGGTTATTTGTCAGAGTCCAAAGTTCAGATTCCAGACAGACGCACCCCATTCGTTTGATCCTTGCTGCCCCTAAACGGTTTCCAGATCCAAGTACTGAGAAAGGCCTCCAGGCTATGAACCTTTATAAGTTGCATAAAAGAGAGGATTTCACTGGGTGTGGCTTCTCCATCCTGGCAGGCTCTTTCCTTCTGTGTAACTCACGGGCTGTTTCTGGGTGTGGGAAGATGTGCAAAGGGAATCCTTTCTCCCATGCCATTTTGCTCCAGAGAAGAAAATTACCATTGGGAAAAGAGGTTAGACTTCCCTGAACTATGCCCTCCCCCTGACTGACTGACTGACTGAATGACTATCTGTCTGTCTGTCTGTCTGTCTGTCTGTCTGTCTGTCTGTCTATCTTATCTATCTATCTTATCTATCTATCACTATAGCTGACCTATTTGCTAGGGTTGCCAACCTCCAGGTGTTCCAGCCACAAGCAGACCACGGTGACTCAACCAAGGTTGCATCCCACCAATGTTCACTGTGGAAAAATTGATTCAACTCCAATTACAGTCCACAAATTTGCTGGAAATCGTCGGAAGCAGCAGCAGCAGCACTGCATGACGTAAAATAAAGAAACAAAAAGAAGCAGCAGCAAATGTGTGAACTGTAATTGGACTTGAATCAATTTTTTCACAGTGATCATTGGTGGGGTGAAACCTTGGTTGAGTCACTGTGGTCCATTTGGGGCTGGAACTTAAACCTGTGTGGACATGGAGAGTTGGAGTGAGCAATTTACATTCAGCAGTGCAGAGAAAGAAAAAATATTTTCAGTTACATGACAATTGTTGGAAGCAGCAGCAGCACCGCATGACATAAAATAAAGAAACAAGAAGAAGAAGAAGAAGAAGAAGAAGAAGAAGAAGAAGAAGAAGAAGAAGAAGAAGAAGAAGAAGAAGAAGAAGAAGAAGAAGAAGAAGAAGCAGCAGCAGCAGCAGCAGCAGCAGCAGCAGCAAATTTGTGGACTGTAATTGGACTTGAACGTCCTTGAGATCACAACTTGAGATCACAACTGTTCTCCACCTGGAGAAAATGGCCGCTTTGGAAGGTGCACTCTATGGCATTATATCCCGTCTCTGGAAGGTGGACTCTGTGGCATTATAGATGTCCCTCCCCTCCCCAAACCCCGCCCTCCTCAGTCTCCAGTCCCAAATTCACCAGGAATCTCCCAACCCAGAGTTGGCAAACCTCCTTATTCACAGATCTCTGAATGGCACCTCAAGTTTGGCTCTGCGGCCTGGCTGCCTCCTGTGAAACCTCTCTGAATAAGCAGAGTGTACATAAATAAGTGTGTTGCTTTTGCGTATTAGAAGTAAATGATTATGCTCGGAGGGATTCCGCTGTGAATGTGCACCACTTTTCAACGGCTGGCAGATTTATTCATAACCACTGTATTTTTGTTTGGGGAGGGGGGTATTTTTAAATTTCACCACAGCTAACATTTACTGACGTTATTTACATCTGTAATGCATTTCCCCCTGTCCCTCTGTACACCAGTAGTGGCGCTGAGGAGTGTGTAAACTCTCCTAGTTTACTGGCGCATTAGTGTCACTATCCATTACGAGGTAATTACCTCAGCCCACCGCTACTGTACAGAAACATCGTCATAGTGGCCCTGTAAATCTCCGAATAGAGCCAGGCACTGAATCAGCGCTCGCAATTAATGTTTGGTTCTGTTTCTGTACTCCCCATTAATTAAAAGATATCTTAAAAAAAAAAATTAGCTGCACCTATGAAGCACCATTAAACACTAGTTTAAACCTGCTTTGAGGAAAGTAAACATTACTCTGTGACTGGTATTTTATGGGATTATTTATGCTTATTTATATGCAGATTAATTCCACATGCAACTGACAGGGCTGTCTCGGGCAGCCAGAAAATTGTATCTTCCACTGGCTGTTTTGCTCGGCTGAGGTGAGGGGTGGGGAGGGGAGAGAGACTTGGGCTTGTTTGCTTCTTTGAAGTGTCATTTTGGTCACGTGATTCTTCTTTCCCTTCCCTTTGTTTCTTCTGCACGATGACACACACTCTTTCCTCACGGGACTGGTTTGAAGGTTTGTATATCACATATACAAACAGCAGTCTGTTAGCGTAGCATCCATAGAACGTTATCAGTATTGTTGACTCATCAAATTTACAGCAATACAGGCCCCAGTCATGGCCGGCCTCATCTCATGGGCTGCGGGAAGCAGAGCCAGCCCCACCCAGCAGGTAGATCATGCAGAGGTCGATGGATTCCCCAAATCAAACTGGAGAGGCATTATGAAATATTAATTTCGGTGGTGCTGACCAGTGTATACAGGATGCGAAAACCCTCGGAGGAAATCCAGTTACAAATGGAGACGAGGCTAATATATGATGAAATCAATTGGTTCCTTTTATTTCCTAACTCTAGTTCACATACATACGCAAAAACTGATTCACACACATGCGCGCACAAGATCCTCAGTATTACAGAAATAGCAAATAGTTACTTTTACGCTAAAGGTATGGGGAAGGGAGTAGCAAATACTTATCTGATCAGAGGCTTGATCTTCCCAACGAAGAATAGGTGAAACTCTATTCAAACTCTATTCTCCTTTCCTTACTCTGCATGCAAATAGGGCCCCGCCCCACCCCCAGTCTCAAAGTCTTGCTTCATTGGTGGTAGCAGTAGGCGTCTTCACCACTGGCCCTTCCTCCTAAGGAACTACACACCTCCGGTTTAGGGGAGGGAGTTGTGGGGTGAGCCACTGTTCAGCGGGGGGAAACCCTTCTGGTTCACCAGCTTCAGCAGTCACCCGATGCCCAAGTGTGTGGGTAAAGTGTTGTCAAGTCATAGCTGGCTTACAGCAACCCCGGCAAAGGGGCTTTAGAGGTAAGCAAGAAGCACAGGTGGTTTACCATTGCCTTTTTCTGCAGACCCTGGTAGTACCCGTTCCACATACCGATCCTGCTTAGCTTCCGAGGTCGTCTGAGATTGGGCTATACCATGCCACCTTCCCTCCTCCCTCTGCAGCCCCCCTTTGCTTGTCCACATGTTTGCCTCATTCGCGTGTAAAGGCCTGATGGCTCAGGGTGGGGGATGCACAGGTGAGGGGAAATGAGTGCTTTCCTTGCTGCAGTAACTCTAAGCACTTAATGTGCTTCCTTCCTGAGCCCAGTTCCTTTCTTATCTCAGAGCCAGGCTGGGAGAAAACCTGAAGCGATACCATCTGCATATCTCTCTTGATGTTAGAATAGGGTTGTCAAGTCCATTTCTCTTTGCAGCGGGGGGCTCCCGGACGACTCTATGTTTTCCCCTCAGATGGCTGTGGCCGTCCCCAGTGTGCCCGGCGTCATCACATCACATCCGGCTGACGTGCACGCTGAGGTGGGGTTCCCCCCGGGGCCCGATTCCGCAGCGGCAGAAATCGGGCCTCCAAAACGGGGGATTATCTGCCCCCCGGGGGGACTTGGCAGCCCTATGTTAGAAGTAGCCCCCATTGAAGTGTGTGAACGTCAGATGTGACTACCCTCATCATGTCACGTTTTGTCCTAACTGATGTTCATCTTGGCTTTACCACTTCGGCGATGGGCTCATAAACCTGAGAGCCATCCCACACAAAAATAATCATCCATGCAGGAAATATTGGTTTCTGGTCTGTTTTTCTCCCTGTCATGGAAGTTTTGTCATGTGCTTAGAATGTCTTTCATATCAAAGAACGTACAAAGCCCTTGCTGAGTGATACAGGCCAGACCATGGCGCCTCAGTGAAAAGAAGGCCATGTTTTCCACCTGAAACAAACTCCTCAGACCCAAGGATAGCCATGTGTAGACGTCTTCCAGCCGTGGAGGCTCTAGGAGACTCATCACCAGGTTCCACCTCTTTTACTGCTCGGGGGATAGAACCGGCCTTCTGGAACTTTGCCCACACTTTGCCCTTACTCACCATGGTGACATCTTCTTCAGGCCTCACCAGCTGCCAGACAGTGAGCAAGTCTCCACCTCAGACATGTATATGACAGGAAAAAATGGAAAATCAGAGGGAGGAGTGAAAGTTGTAGGAGGCAAAGCACCGTGAGGCAGCATTTCAGCTGGGGAAGGCCCCTCTCCACAGCTGCTCCATCTGACCCAAATGCCAAGTACGTTTGGAGCACAGAGTAGTCTTCTTGCAGGTCATTTCTCGACAGTGTGCTCTTTTTCACCAGAGGCCCTTAAAGCAGGGGTCCCCGACCGTTTTGAGCCTGTGGCTACCTTTGGAATGCTGATGTGAGGTGGAGGGTGCAGACTCAAAATGGCTGCTGTGGGAAGCACAGCCAACTGCAAAATGGCTG